TGACCCAAAACGTATCCTTCTGCTCGACAATGACCGAACCTTCAGCCAGCGACCACAGGTATATCAAGATCAAGTTGCAGTTCAACACCGAAGAATCTGACAATCTCACCACATACCACCAGACTCACTGGCCACACTTTCATCATCTAATTCAGGAGAACTGGATCTTAAATAAACCCATCATTAATATGGATGAAAGGGATATCGACGATACTATTTGTAACCTAACCAACATTGTTCTCAACAGTTACCGTCTGGCTAGCAAGAAGCGTACCAGCAAACGATCGTGCGCCCCTTGGTGGGACAATGAACTTGCAAGGCAGCGCCTCTGAGTGCGCAAGCTTCGCAAGCGCTACAAGCACCAGAGGGATGAACAGCTAAGGCTAACCTTAAAGGCAGAGTACACGGCCAGATTTAACGAGTATAAAACTCTCATTAACAGGAAAAGGCACCAGGCTTGGAGGCAATATTGCAGCAAGTCCAACGAGCCATGGGGAGACCCATATTACATTGCCTTTAAGAAAAGGGACAAAGCAGATGTCCCAGCGGCAGTCAAAACTGCAAAAGGCCACTTTACTAATATTCTTGATAGTACCTTGAAAGAACTATTTGACTACCACTTTCCTGTTGATGATCCAACCGAGGACACTGCAACACAATGCCAGATTTGCCACAATGCTACCTTTTTAACCAGGGATGAGGACGACCAACCCTTTACTTTTAATGAAGTCTTGCACGCCATTGGATTAATTAAAAATAGAAAAGCCCCTGGCATCGACCAGATCACCGGTAAGATGGTCAAGGAAACTTTTTTCGCCATTCCAACAACCTTCATTACTCTATATAACCGATGCCTTTCGCTGGGCTACTTTCCTCTCGACTGGAAGTGCGCTTCGGTGAAATTCCTCAGAAAACGTCAAAACGAAGCATCTCAGTTTGCCAAGGACTATAGGCCCATCTGCCTTCTTCCCATTTTCGGCAAGATTCTCGATAGGCTTGTCATAAACAGGATCCTTAAACACTTAAGAAAAAAGAATGCCCTTAGCAGTCACCAGCATGGCTTCACTCCTGGAAGATCAACCACGACTGCTCTCACCTCAATTACTGACTATATTACTCAGGCCAAAGCGGAAGGTAAACACACGCTTATGGTTTCGATTGACTTCCGCGGGGCTTTCGATAACCTCTGGTGGCCCAGTATTTTACACCAGCTCCACGAACACAACTGTCCCCAGAACCTTTTCCAGCTGATCAGGAGTTTCATCAGCGACAGGAAGGCGGGGTTTTTTACAAACAACTACCGTTACTGCCACCATGTTACTAAGGGCTGTCCGCAAGGATCCATCTCTGGCCCAGGGCTGTGGACCATTGTCCATAATGACTTGCTCTCCACCATCAACAATAACAATGACAGCAACCACTTAATACAAGGTTACGCTGATGACACTGTCATCCTTGTATCAGACAAAAACAGCAACAAGCTCCCTGTCCTCAGCAACAACTTACTGGCCAGGATCTCAGACTGGAGTGCCAAAACCAAGCTCCCTATTAACTACTCTAAATGCCGATACATCATTTTCTCGAAGAACACCCCTCTCCAGAAGAGCCCACGCATAGAAATCAACGGGGTTAAAATCTCTCGTGTAAAAGAATTCGTCTACCTTGGTGTCAAATTAGAGCAGCAAATGAACTGGTCCAGCCATGTTGATATGGTGGTGTCCAAGGCTTCTAAGGCTTCTAACGCCCTTCTCTCGATTGCCAAGAATACCTGGGGCATTGGATACAAGGCTGCCAAGCACATCTACCTTGGTGCGATTGAACCCATTTTGTTATATGCTGCCCCAATCTGGGCCGAGGCCACGCAGAAAGTACACATCCAAAAGAAGCTTTCCAAGGCCCAGCGCATCTCTGCACTCAGGATCTGCAGGGCATACAGAACAGCCCCAACCGCTGCCCTCCTTGTTATCGCTGGCCTCCTCCCAGTGCATATCAAGGCCAAAATGGCATCGAACATCTGGACAATTAATAACATATCTGCCAACAACTACTACAATACCACCAGGCACAATGCTGCCCTTTCTGCCCTTCCCGATCATGTCAAGGAAGACATAACATCTTATGGCATTGAGAATAAAGACACTAACCTGAATTCGACCATGGACTATCCTGCCATGAACAGCGATATCACCCTTCATGAAGGGCCATACGACATTTCAATCTACACGGACGGGTCTAAGAACAAGGGTAATGTGGGTGCTGCTTTTGTTCTCAGCAATCACCACAATGGTGAAACTCACAGGTCGGCCTTCAGGCTGGGGCCTCACTGCTCCGTTCCCCAAGCCGAAATTTTCGCTATCACAAAGGCTATCGACTACATCTATACAGAGTGGTTCCCTCATAACATGACTATTGCCATCTTTTCCGACAGCATTACTGCCATCCGCTCCATTACCAGCAGTAGGAATAGGGGGAATAATGTCCTTCACATCCACAGCCTTCTGTCGTTGAACACCCACAATCACAATGTGCATTTCAAGTGGGTCCGTGGCCACTCGGGGGTTGCTGGCAATGAGGCCGCTGACAGCCTCGCCAAAACCGCTGCTGCCTCTTCTCTACCTCCCAGTTATGAAAAGATTCCACCCTCCAAGATTAAGCAGTGGAACTACGAACTGGCTCTTCAACATTGGCAACATGAATGGGACAACGGCAACACTGGTAGATTGACGCACAAGTTTATTCCCAACATCGCCAACCGCTTACAGTGGAAGCACTTTTCTCCCTCCTTTGCCATGACTCAGCTCATTACTGGTCATGGCAACTTCAATGCCTATTTAAAACGCTTCCGTATCCAAGATGAGGACATCTGCAACTGTGACGGCACCTCTATTCAAGACAGCATCCACTACCTCTTCGATTGTGCATTCTATAACCACAACAGAGACATTCTTATGGGCAGCGTTCTCTACTCTGGTTTCAACTGGCCCTGCCCTCTCAATGCGTTCCTTGATCACAAAGATATTTACCACAAGCTTATGAACTATCTATCAACGACAGCAGCTCTCACCCCAACCAGCAGTCAACAGTAAGTACTTTTGCTAGGATCCTGCACGTTCGGACTTTTAATCAACGTCCTCCTGCACTGTACACTTGAACTGTCTACTTCTGCATTGGATTGGTTAATAGTTAAATCCTTTCCTCTCGCAGTTTGTCGCGTACCAGTTTGTGTTGTCTCAGTATTTGCTACCGCAATCCCGAGTCTACGTCACTGTGTCTCATTGTCTGCGGACTAATCCACTGTTCAATGTACTCGCGTCTACCTGTATTTTCCTGTTCTGCCAACGCCCATTTTCTGTTATCAATATCTGTCGGTTTACTTGTATTGTATATAAAACCATCGTCGCGCAGCTCCTTTGTACATACCTGTTCACCATTGCATTGTTTGTTCCTCTGTTTATTGCATTTTGTATTCTGTTTATCTTCAATAAATGCGATGCAGGCGCCTGGAGATCTTAACTTTACCCTGCCCCACGCTCATCCCCTACTTTTCCCATGTCTCTTCCTTCCTTCCGTTCTCTACCACCTCCAGGTTGTACCTCTGAGTGTTGCCTGGAGGATTTCTCCCTTTTTCAATTTAATGTAATGTAATGTAATGTAATGTAATGTAGCATATCAGAAAAATACTAGAATGAAATACAAGTATTTTGTATCCAACACATCATTAACTGAATCATCTATGTTCAGAACATTTTAAATAATACAGATAAATACGAACAACAGATCGTTAACAACAGTTTAATTTACGTAAACATTAATGTGAGAAATAAATAAAATGCAATAAACAGCAAAAAATAGTAGAGGAGAAGGTGGTATTATGGAACCGCATTTTCATTATAGTGAATTGTAAACAAGGTATCATAACTACATCCACATTTTTTGTGCAAGTACCGGTAACTATTAAACTAAATGTTCCTGATTGGATTTTTCGCTAGTGTAACTATAAGTATAGTTTTTGAAGGCTTCTGTACAAAAAGTCAAAAAGCAGGCTTAGGGAAAACAGGGTGGTAATATGGAACCTTATGTACGTTTTCAAAAAATGCTTTAATGTATCAAAAAACAAATAGGAAAGTACAAAGAATGTTAAATAATTACATAAATTATTTACTCCAATGTATTTTATCGCAAAAATGATTTAATAGTAATAGTAATAATAAAGAAATGTACAAAGAAGAAGCAAATCATTCACAAAAATCACAAATATAATGCCCGTATAGTGTTAGGTAAGTATTTCTACTTTTTTTCATTTTCTTTCTATTTTTTCATTCATCTACCACATACTTTTACAAAAGTTAGACGGATTCTATATTAAAACCACCAATGGGGTCCGTATTCCACGAATCGCCATCTTCAATTAACTTATGTCTGTCAAGATCAAATTTTAAACATCGTGAACATCGCACAGATTAATATATACCCCTAAGTCTCTGGAATGGAATACATGCATCAGTGAACCTACCACTACTCGATTTATATTTTAAAAATAATTAAATCCACTTAGTGTTCAAAACTTTCGAATTTCGAAAAACACAAATATGCTAATTCGCTACCGACAACCGGTAGATTTTCCCCTTGCTATGGATGTCTGCCTAGTTCAGTTCAGCCACAATCCGCTACAGTTCGCCTTTATTATCAGTTTGAAATGGAGGGGTTACATAATACCTGCAGAGTTCCATAATACCATCTTCTCCCTATATTATTGTAAAGTAGATTTAATAACTATATTCAAAATACATTTTATTCTCATCACTTTTATCTATAAAAATGTGAATTACAATTTTTTAGTAAACTTTAATAAGTAAAATAATTTCGATACAGTTTTTAAATGCACTCGTCTAGATTACATGATATATGTTTATATATATTTGTAATAATATTATATATTTGTAATAATAATATTATTGTAATTATATGTTTATATAAATTTGTAATAAAAATTACCCCAACGTTCAGGTTATTTCATATTTTAAAACATACGTCTTTGTTGTACACACATTCTTATACCTGATATTGGAGTCAACATAACTTCGAATGAAGTAACGATCTTATCTTGAGGATCTAAAGAGTAAACTTTAAAATTACGAAGAACATTTGCCAAAACTGTTTTCATACTAATCATGGCGAGTTTACTTCCTGTAAATAAATTATTTTATAAAATAATTTTTTTGTTTTTGTATTTATTCACTAATCACTTACCGACACAATTTCGTGGACCGGCAGAAAATGCCAGAAATGCATAAGGATGAAGATTTTTATAGTTTTCAGGTAGAAAACGGTCTGGATCGAAAACTTCGGGATTTTCGTAAACAGAAGGATTATGATGGATGCCATAGATACTGATGACAAGAGTCGAATTTGCAGGCAACACGCAATTACCTATTTTAATGGCAACGATTTAATGAATCAAGTCAATAACAAATATAAAATATTGTTATTGAAAACCAAATTGCAAAATATCAAAAATTACTTATTTTCATTTCCGTAGGATTTTTTCTTGCAATAAAAGGACCAGGAGGATAGATTCTCATCGACTCCTGGAAATTATAATTTATAAAACTAATCCTTGAATGTATTATATAAATTAAGAAGGTTACCTTAATTACGCATTCTAAGTACGTCATTTTCGTCAGGTCATCAATAGTAATATCTCTATTCATATCATTTTTGAAAATGTCTTGCAATTCTAAATAGACTTTCTCCTGTATTTCGTGAAATCTTCCCAAAAAATAAAGAGTCCACGACATAACGTGGGAAGTTGTATCGTGACCCTGATATTAAAATACGTTAAGAAGAAATGTAAAATTGCTTTGTACATAATTTACATTTGCAATAAAATAAATACTGTATAATAAACGGGTAAAATTACGAAAGGCATGCACGAATATCGCGCTTCTTTCATATTCCTGTCATATCAGTTTACAATGCGCAATCACATTGCTTGCAGCAAGCAGTTCACATATTTCTTCGTACTATTTACGACAAAATATCTATAATCTGATTTTGGTAGTTTACTTTTTCCTCCAATAAGAAAACAGTCCAGAAACTTTCAAAAGGTGCCAATTGTATCCGGCGTAAATTTCGGTGATAAAATGAAAGAGAAAAAATGCGTCATTTCAATTCTTTCAAAATTTATACATGAAGCCAAAAATAATAATATTAGTAAAAGGGAGGGTGGTATTACTTCTCACGGAAAACGTAATTATTGGAGATTAGGCCTAATTTAAAAGAAGTGAAATGAAGTGAAAATTCGATGTAAACGAAAAGAGATTACAAAAACAAAATTATCAAAATTTCGGAACAATTCATGCTAAACTTTCCGAAATTTATATTAATTTTTATACATAACATTAAAAATGTATAATTAGAGACAAATATAATTTTTTTATTCTTTTTTAGAAAACAAATTACATTATTTATAAACATTTTATATTTTATAAAAATATTTGTTATTGTTTAATCAGAATTATTTTATTCTTAAATAAATTAAAATATAAAACTTTCTATTTATGATTATAATAAAGTACTAGTCTACTGAATCAATCAATGCACCATTAACAGTGTATGAAGTTTAAAAAATGCTAATGTTTTAGCTATTCCATACTGAAAATGGCACATTAACCAGGTCAAAAATGTTATTGTTCTTTAAACTTCACTTACTATTTAAGGTGGAATAATTAAATTACCATAACATGTAACTTTATTATATTTAAAGATATTTTATACAACTTTTTAAATATATTACATAATGTAACTGAGGATTTTTAGGGTAATTTATTTTAATATAATAAGTTAATTATTAAAAAAGTCTCTTAGTTAAAATTAATCAAAGAGAAATTTCATCCTATCACAAGGGGTATCAGTAGTAGTATTTGGTTTAATCTCAAATTTAACTGTGTTAAAATTATAAATAATCCTGTTTATAATTTTAACACGGTTAACAGAATAGAATGCTACACACGTACGCCTTTGCAAACGAAGTTTCAGTTCCTCAATGAAACTAAAAATTTTTCTTTCGCATTCGACATGATCAGATTAATTCTATGAACAAAATGTCTTCGATCGATGGACGAAATAAACATTAAACTGTCCATAAACTGTGTAATTAGTCAAACGAAAACCTAAATACACATCGTCCACCTTGAATTGTCTTGACTTAACACAGCCCATTACATGTCGTAATATAATGACGTATATTTATATTTTCGATAATTCTGTTATTATGGACTTGAATTATTTCGGTCATCATCTCAGACATTACTTGCTTTGAACACTTTCAAATGTGTTTATAAAAGGAATTTGACTAACTAATAGGCCTACTCGAAATAATAATTTGATAACAGATAATAACTCACAAAACTATGTTACAAATTTACAAACTACTATTTTACATAATTAATAGAGAAACCACATTCAAAATGAAGTCGAAAAATTAAGGTATAACTATCCTTTTACACCCGATATTCCCTCTTTAATTATACATAATAATCATAATAATAATGTTTAAAAATCATCAGTAGATACACATTTTTAATTTTTCAAAAGTATGTATGTAAAGAGAAAAATCTCTTTCAATTTAAAAAAAACTTTATACACGCATCTCGCTGTCATCGACATGACACATAAGAAAATATAATATGGCGGAATTGATACATGGTGAAGCGGGAAAAGATAAATAATAAAAAGGAATTGATATAGTGAAGAATAAACTTTAAATGTCGTTTCTTTGCTTACAGGTGAGACTGTCGATTACATTTCAGAAGTGTTATTTCGGTAATGTAACTTTAAATCTAATAAAATAAAATAAAATTGTTTACAGAACAACACGTCGTGGTTTATTTCATTTATCGAATCATTCCTTTTTGAAGAAATTAAAAACCTTATAAAAAACGACATTTTTGTTACTAACTCTTACTGAAAAATGGAAAAACCTTGCTTCGTATTCGATTGTTACCAGGAAGTGATGGAAAATCGAACATTTATGAGATAACTTCAATAGCAACAAGTGACAATAAAGTGTATGCAATACCAGAAGAGCTACGTCCTGCGAATTTTCATAGAGGCATAGAAAAACACATGCCTTTGCTAAAGTGAAGAAAAGTTTAGTAAACAGATACCAAATAAGAAGGATGTGGATTACATTGACCGGGTAACTTAAGAATACTTACCTAGAAGAGGACGGAAATGTGCAGTTTGACAGTCAATTTTTAGAAGAATTAAATCGAGAAGAGCCTAATATAGCACAGATACAAGAAACCCATACATTAGAAAAACTGTTTGAGAAATTTATAGAAAGTACAGAGGAAAATAGACTGCAAAACTTAAAAAATGTTGCAGAACGTTTCATACTGGAAAAATTTACAAGCAAAAATATGAATGCAAACCAGTGGATTAATGTTTTTGAGAAAGAATGCATATGCTTTGATGTCACAACAGATGAGAAGAAAATTGAAATGTTGAGGCTGTTTATGGATAAGAGGTGTGTGGACTGGTACAGTTCCATGATTGTAAAATTAACAATTAATGCAGAATGGTCAATGTGGAAACAAAAATTCTGTGAGTCATTCGCAAACAAGCGATGGAGCCCCATCACCAATGCACTGTTATTTAAATATAAAGAAGGTTCATTGTTGGATTACACTATAACAAAAGAAAACATTTTATTGGAGATGAGATGATTAATCGATACAGGTACAATGGTGGATCTTATTGCAGCTGGTTTACCAGAATTCATACTAAATAAGATTGACAGAGAAGCAATAGAAGATACAGTCAGCTTGTTTAATGAGGTGACATGATGAAAAAGAAAAGTTATGTGCCAAAAAGGAAATATGGAACTGTCAAAACGAATAATAGAAATGAAGAACGTTCCCCATGTAAAATTTGTGAAAAACTAAACAAAGGTCTTCGCTATCACCCGGAAGACATATGCTAGTTTAAAGTAAGAGAAGATGAGAAAAAAAAAATATTAGATAAGTGTCACAATACAAGAATAGAAACCGAATTAAACAAGTCCGATCAGAAAACACGGATAGTAACGCCATTAATAAATCTCAAACTACTACTGAGCGATAAATTAGAAGTATATGGGATTTACGATTCAGGTTCAAATGTGTCTCTGATTAATTCTAAATTACTGAAACTAACAGGAACAGAAAAAAATTTGAATGAAGCAAACCTGGTAACAATTAATGGTGTTAGAAAGACAAGTGGGTTGACGAATTTAAAAATAAAAATCTTTGAATTGGAAAAATGGGTAGATGTATATATAATTAATGAACAAAATTTCGAGTATGATTTTTTGATAGGATTAGATTTGATACAAACATTCAAACTAATTCAAGATGAAAATTTAAAAATAACTCAAAAAAGCAAATCAGAAAAAAGAAGAAGTTTGTTCAAATAAAGAAATAAATACAGAATTACATACTGAACAAGATAAAAGCACATCAGAAGAATACAAAATAAATTTTAATGAACATGTGATAGAAAATTTTCAGGCTGGATGGCCGAGCGGTCAAGGTGGCAGCCTACCTCTCTGGGGGACCCGGGTTCGAATGTGAACGGGTCGGAAAATCCCCAGGAATTTTTCGGGGGTGGGCCATTCAGATATGTCAGGCCCCGTCCCTCATCACCCGGCAGCCCCATTGTGGGCCTGGCCAAACCCATAATGGGCTTGCATAAAGAGGCCCTCTTAGTGCCCACAGGGTAGAAAGAGTTAAAAAAAGTAGAAAATTTTCAAATGAAAATAAGTCATTTGAATGAAAATAAAAACACAGAAATAAATAAACTAATAGAAAAATATAAATCAGTTTTTGCAAATGACAAATATGATGTTGGCAAGGTCAATGGATATGAAGCACGGATAGACCTAACAGTAGAAAAATATTGTAGTAAGAGACCTTACAGATGTACAACTGAAGATAAAAAAGAAATAGAAGAACAAATAGCAAAATTATTAGATAATAACCTGATAGAAGAATCATACAGCCCGTTTGCTGCACCTGTTACTTTAGCATTTAAAAAAGAAGAGAAAAAAAAGTCAAGGCTATGTATAGATTTCAGGGATTTGAATAAAATTGTAGTACCTCAAGCCCAACCATTTCCATTGATAGAAGATCTGTTCATAAAGACAAGAAATTGCAAACTTTTTTCAACTCTTGATTTAAACTGTACGTTCTGGTCTATTCCTTTACGAGTTGCAGACAGGAAAAAGACAGGGTTTCTAACACAGGAAGGACACTATTAGTGGACATGCCTTCCCATTGGATTAAAGACCTCACCAGCGATTTTTCAGAGAATTTTAAGTAATGTATTAAGAAAGTGTAAACTAACTGATTTTGCAGTAAATTATTTATAGATGACATACTTATATTTTCTAAAACTTTTGCTCAGCATATACAACATTTATCACTATTACTGAAAGCAATTAGAAAAGAAGGTTTTAGATTAAAATTTACAAAATGTACATTTGCATCAGACTCGGTGAAATACCTGGGACATATAATTGAAAATAATTCAATTAAACCAATGAAGGACAACTTAGTCTCAATAAGGGATTTTCCTACCGAAAATCAGAAAAATATAAGACAATTTTTAGGAAAAATTAACTTTTATCATGATTACATACCAAAAAGTGCAATAATTCTAGAGCTGTTGCACAATTTACTTAGAAAGAATTAAAGATTAATTTGGTCAGAGGAATGCCAAAAGACATTTGAAACGGTAAAAAAACTATTATGCTCTCAACCAGTTCTGGAGATTTTCGATCAAGATTTACCAATTAATATTTATACTGATGCTTCTTTAGCAGGTGTTGGAGTCATTTTAAAACATATACAACCAGATGGAAAAGAAAAACCAGTGGCTTACTTTTCAAAGATATTAAATGGAGCTCAAAAGAAAAAGAAAGGAATATACTTAGAATGTCTAGCTATTGCAGAAGCAGTGAGATACTGAAAATACTGGTTAATTGGCAAATCATTCACAGTTTATTCAGACCACAAACCACTAGAGAACATGTATTTAAAATCAAGGACTGATGAAAAATTAGGGGATTTGACATACTATCTACCACAATATGATTTTAAAATATAACATGCACCTGGAAAACAAAATTTGGAAGCAGATTGCCTTAGTAGAAATCCAGTGTTAGAATCAAATACAAATACAGATGAACAATTAAAAGTTTCAAACTTATGTAAATTAGAAGATATTGTATTAGATCAAAATAACAATATAGAAATACAGAGAAAAAAAAGCAAATTGATTCAAAAACAACAATTATACTTAAAGAAAGTTGGAAAAAATATATATAATACTTACCGAACAATTCAGCATCAAACTATTGGAAAATTTACATGAATACCTGTGCCATATTGGAATAAAACAAATGCAGAACACAATTAGTCCATTCTACACAGCCAAAAATCTAACAACTAATATAAAAAAAGTTTGTAGGAGCTGTGAAATCTGTATAAAAAACAAATCAACAGGACACAATAAATATGGATTTATGTCTCATCTAGGCCCAGCTGCAAAGCCTTTTGGGATAATGTCCATTGACACAATTAGAGGATTTGGAGGTTCATGATCAACAAAAAAATAACTACATTTGCTGGTAGATCACTTTACAAGATATGCATTTATTAAAACATCAAAAACACAGAGTGCAAGTGATTTTATAAAATTAGTCCAGGACATAACAAAAACAGAGAATATTGGTATGATCCTTACTGACCAATACCCAGGAATTAATTCAAAAGAATTCCAGAAATTCTTACAAGACAAGCACATACCTATAGTATTCACGGCAGTAAATGCACCATTTTCAAATGGTCTGAATGAAAGACTAAATCAAACATTAGTAAACAAAATTAGATGTAAAATAAATGAAAGAGGAAAGAAGAAAGCTTCGTCAACAATAGCACAAGAATGTGTAAACAAATACAACGAAACAAACCACTCCGTTACGGGGTTTTCACCAAGATATCTTTTATATGGTACAGATGTTACAATTTTACCGAATGAATAAGAAAAGATATATCACTTAGTGACTGGAATAAGGATAGAAAGATAGCATTAGAGAATACAATAAAATCACACAATTACAACAAGATATGATTTGATAAAAAGCTAAAATACTGTGAATTTAATGTAGGAGACATGGTGTATGTAGAAAATGGTAACAAGTTAAACAGGAGAAAGCTAGATGAATTAAAAGTGGGGCCGTATAAGATTATTGATAAAATTTCAAATACAATATACAAGATAGATACTGGGCACAGAAAAACTGACTCAAACCTGTACCATATTACAAAACTTATGCCAGTTCCTGTATTGGAAAGACAGTGAAATGGAAGATGATGGAGATGATTAGCAAAAATTATACTGAAAATTTTCTTCCCCAGGGGAGAGATGTAAAGAGAAAAATCTCTATTTCAATTTAAAAAAACTTTATCCATGCGTCCCGCTGTCATGGACATGAGACATAAGAAAAAACAATATGGCAAAATCGATACATGGTGAAGCAGGAAAAGATAAATAATAAAAAGGAGTTGATAACTTTAAATGTCGTTTCTTTGTTTACAGGTGAGACTGTCGATTACATTTCAGAACTGTTATTTCGGTAATGTAACTTTAAAAGTAATAAAATAAAAAAAAAACTTTGTTTACAGAGTAACACATCATGGTTTATTTCATTTGAAGAATCATTCCTTTTTGAAGAAATTAAAAACCTTATATACATTTCCTGCGTGTATGTAAATAGACAAAATATACAGTAATTAATAAACCTTTTGTTTTATGTCTAAAATTTCTTCCTATTACATTTCACATAATAAAAATATAAAAGGACAAAATTCAAATTTAAAAACTACAAATTTTTAAATGTCAAAAAATTATAAATTAATCCGAAATTACAAATACTATTTACTTTAGCAATTAATTATGAATGAAATGTAATGATTTTACGAACATCTTAAAGTAAATACAATTTCTAATTTCAAGAAAGTAATTATGATTAGTTTTGAAACAGGTTTTACGTTAATTATAATTTTTGTCGCCGAGTTAACTGTTTTATAATTATTTTCGATTACACCTTTAATAAATTAAGTAGATTAGATATTAAGTAAATTTTTGCCTACCGCAAAAATAGTGCCTCCCATATCTCTGATAACGTCTTCTTCCGATATTAAACGATGTTTGACATGAAGATCCAACAGGGAATCGATAAGACGTTGTTTTGCTTTCATCTTTGGTTCTTCTTCATTACCTGCTTCTTTCTCTAAGGAATATTGCTGCTGCATTTTTTTCACAAAATTTTCTTTTCTTCTGTTGAACACCTACGGATTAAATTAAACCGTTAATTACTTAAATAAAAACAAAAATTCTATTCACAAGTTGAGTTTACCTTCTCCTCGAAACGATGAATTATTTCAATGTCCCTCTTACAATTGTTTTCTATTTTACTCATGAAGAAAATTGGAGAAAGCCAGTACATTGGATTTAATAGCCATTCAGAAAAATATTTCAGAATTCTAAATTTTAATAAANAATTGTCGCATATCAAACTTTTAAGGTATGTTTTTTGAATGTGTTATATCTATATTGTGCATAGTTTCTTGTGCATTGTCGAATTATAATTTATGTGCTTATATGTACATTCTTCACATGTTTGATTTTATTGTTTAGTTGGCTGAGGAGGGGTTGGAGCCAATGTTCCCTCTAATTTTTTTTGTAGATGAGCGGAACATATACTTCTCTGAGCAAAAAAAATTTTTGCTGAGCAGATTCTGAGCAAAAAATTTTTCTGAGCATATATATATGCTCAGAAAAATTTTTTGCTCAGAATCTGCTCAGCAAAAATTTTTTTTGCTCAGAGAAGTATATGTTCCGCTCATCTACAAAAAAAATTAGAGGGAACATTGGCTCCAACCCCTCCTCAGCCAACTAAACAATAAAATCAAACATGTGAAGAATGTACATATAAGCACATAAATTATAATTCGACAATGCACAAGAAACTATGCACAATATAGATATAACACATTCAAAAAACATACCTTAAAAGTTTGATATGCGACAATTACATTTATACAGACAGCATACGTAATGGATCGTAGAATGAACAGATTCGACGAGTTTTTTTTTTTTAACATTCATCTAAATAAATCAACTTTACAGAAAAGTATAACAACATCCATCATGCCTGTAGTTTGTATCTTGGCATATCACTTAAATTTACACAATGACTATTGCTACTGTTACATACAGACAGATCTCACGCACTACCATCACAGCAACGTAGTTCGGTTATTTAATTAATTTGTCATAGATTTTAAAAAGCATCTTTAGGGATCATTTTAATATATTCATTTAAAAAAAAAAAAACATTTATAGATAATGCATTTTAATTAAACATTATAAATAATAAGTAAATAAAGACAAATAAATTTACTTTCATTTCTACGTCTGCTTCTGTAATTTCTTGTTTCATTTCTTTTGCTTCTTCCTTTTGTATTGATATACTATTCTTGTAGTGCTTAATATTGTCTCTTATTTGTTTTAATGTATTCAGGTGTTGATATATCAAAAGATCCTGAAAAAATTAATATCTGTATAATTAATAATCATCAAAATTCATGTATTTATTCTTTACAAAATTAAAATGTACCTGCTGAAGTTGTTCAAATGCTATTTTATTTTTTTCTTTTCCAGTTTTTCCATTTATGGTTTTAATTATAGATACATGAGATGAAACATTTTTACTAAATTTCATAATATTTAAAAGTTGCCGATTTAATTTTTCAAACTGATTATAACAATTTATTTCTGAAATGAGAAAATATCTAATTCAAAGTCAATGTATATCTATTACCATTAATGAACAAATGAAGTAAAAAATAACCTGCTTTTTTCTCTTCTTGTAATGTATTTTCTAATTTTTCATAAGTTTCTTTTGCAGTTTTTAATATTTTTTCATTATTTTGACATTGACAAAATAAGTTATAGTATTTATCATTGTTTGAATGAAGATTTTCTTGTATGGAAGCAAGATTTTCTTGTTCGTCGTATAATCTCGAACCTAAATCTTCGCGTTCCTTTTGCTTTTCTTTTAGTTGCTTTTTCTATTATTTAAAATATTTTAAGAATTAATTATAGTAATTACTAAGGTATGAGCTCAAAACCTTTAATATCTAGAAAAGATTTATGGATCANTACGCATTTGGGTGGTGGCCACTCTCGTACCTCACGTATAACGTTGGCGCACAGTCTGGGAATGACTCAAAATAAAGAATGTTTTCCTTTGGGGTAAAAAAACTTTTTCAATAATATATTATTATTAAAAAGAACTTATCATTATGGTACGTTATATATAAATAATACATAAGAATGTCGGGAACAACTTGAAGGCTAAATCTTCGCGTTCCTTTTGCTTTTCTTTTAGTTGCTTTTTCTATTATTTAAAATATTTTAAGAATTAATTATAGTAATTACTAAGGTATGAGCTCAAAACCTTTAATATCTAGAAAAGATTTATGGATCAAACTAAACTAATGTTTTCAGCTACTTTTAGTAGCCATCATCAAGTTACACATTCAAATCCTGTAATTCTATAACATCGTGTCAGGAGCCATTGATATGTGATAAAGAAAAAGTTTAAATGTAAAATGACTCGTATAATACATGACTGCGTGAAATGTAAAATGACTCATAAGATATGCCTGTGACAGCAATCGGGATTTACTTTGTTTCTGATTGGCTAATCAGAATCAAATTTTTACTTACGACACTTGCCCCGTATTCTGCCAATCCTATATGTCTTGGGCTGTCGATAGAGAGGAGCTGGGAATTTTTTCCCGGACCCGGAGAAAACTCAAGGGCCCGTAGTGATTCCAGACTAGAGAATTTGAATGTAATCTGATGATTGCTTCTAAAAGTAGATGAAAATGCTAGTTTGTTTGTTCAATAAATCTTTTGCTACAGATTTTAAAAGTTTTAACTCATATTTTAATTCTATATTTGGCTTAATGTGCATGTGACCATAATAATTTTTAATAATTTTCAGCATATAAATTTCAGTTACATACTTTTGCTAATAACTCAAGTTTTGCTTTCTCTATCATATCTTGAAGATATGTTTTTAATGCTGATTGAAAACATGATAATATAGGCTATTAAAAACAAAAAAAAAAAAGATATTATTATTAATAATATAGACATATAAAAAAATAATTAGAAATTAATACTTGCATGATCTGGACTAATTTCTACTTCAGAATCTTTTTTTTCTTCCATTTTATTCACAATTTTTTATAAGATTCTCTCTTATTAAATTTCTGTAAGATCAATTATAGAAATATAATTTTTATATAAAATTTATTGAGAGTAAAAATGTTTTCAACAATTTTAACAGTTAAGCACAGTACATTTTAAGTTAATGCAGTTCTCATAAGTTGCTTTCAACTTTCAACTAATGTTATATATACTGTTATATACAAATGTTACTTTAAAGTTACATTTGTATATAACAGTTCCAGAGACAGGCTACAAAGGAAACCGTCACTATTGAGCTATTTCCTTTGCCACTCCATCATTGGAAAATTTAACTTCAAACTTTTATTTGTATATGTTACATTAATTTAATTAAAACAAACAAGATATAGTTTCCAACTTAATTCTAACATTTTGATACTTAAATGTGGAACAGCATTGCAACATTCTCTTTCAGAATTAGAATGATTAGAAAAGTTTATTGATACAGCCAGAAGGTTTAAAGCAGAAAATGACAGAGCTATGCTTTTTGGATACTTTAAATGCTACGTTACAATTAATGCTTGTGATGAGTAGAGAAGCATTAATGCATGGACATCAGGCTGTGGATATAGACCGTGCCTTCTTAGGAGCCTCATCTCGCTGCTTATTACTATTTTTATTTTATATCTCTGTGTATAATTCCTCTAAAGAAATGTTTTTAATGCTGATTGGGGACCATCAAATGAGCTTAATGTGGCCTGATGATAATTTTAGAACACTTACAATTTTAAATATTGCATATATTGTAAATTAAAATTTGAATGCTTTCTAATTATAAAATGTTTGTAAGACATAGTAAATTTTAAATATTTCACTTCATCATAATATTTATATTTGTACTCGGAGCCTCTCAGAGGTTGAAAGAAACTGGGCCACTTAATTTGAGGCTTTCAGTATATTAAGAAAAAACAAAATAGCATTAAAAAAAATTGTATTGGTTATTTATTAAATAATAAAATTTTACAAGAAAATAAATATTTTTCTTGTAGTTACACAAGAACTATAATGGAATGAAGACATTTAGATTTGTCAAGGACCTAAGCTATAAACATGAGATTCTAAACCTTAATCTCAAGCATGAAGCTTTAAGCTGTAGTTTGTTTCACTTAGGTAAAACTGCAGCTCTGAATGAGGTGGTTGGGACCTTATCAGAGCTGTAGACCAGGGGTGTCCAACCTTTTTGTTTCTCTGGGCCACATTGGAAGATGTCATGGAGTTTTGGGCCACAAGTATATTATATATACTTGTGGCCCAATCTTTAAAGGATTAACATGACTAGATTATAGTAATAAGTTTTTGTGATAAAGATAATAGTAATAATCTTTATCACAAAAAAGGATATTTTAAAAAATTACTTCTACAGACGCTAGACGCTTTCAATTTTTACTTAGAAATAGATAAATTCAATTATTATAAAGACAAATAAAAATTTATTTNTTTAAATAAATAAATATACGTCGTTTGAAAATAATATTCAGTTTCGGAAAGGCATCGCAGAACGAAGTAAACGAAAACAGTAATATATGAAAGAGGAAAATAATCAGTTAGGCCATGCAAAAATGATTATAGTCAGCTTTAGTTCTAACTGCTGTCGCTAGACAAAAATAGTGTCAATAAAAATAGCAGTTATACAAGAAAGGAAGACGTACTGTGACTAAGTTTGTAATTATCGTGACACGTGTAAGTGGTAAAAAACTGTTCGAATTCCTGCCCCCGTCCAGTTCAGTAGCTTACTTTCGTTGCAATGACATATACATGTATATATATTATTATTATTTTTTAAAATTCGTTTCATAGTTTTTCTACGTGATGATGAATAAGTGAGCAAAATAAATATTTTATTTAATGTTTACGTATGAACAAATTGATATTTATAATTCCTAATTAAATATTTATCTTTAGAGAGTGATACCTGCAATTATATCGAGAGTGCAATATTTCATCCATTCCAGAATATCGAATATTTCATTCTTTTGCAATTGTTTGAGTTTTTCCACTAACACGTTCGAATGCTCCATAAATACATTTTGATCATCTTTCAGGTTCCAAACATGTGCATGTGGAGCTAAATATTTTCTTCTTCTTCTCCAATTATCGTCAGAACTTTATTTAATTAAATTTAGAAAAATGTAAATAACAAGTTTAAAAGAAATATCAAATAATGCAT